CCTGCAAAAAAAAAAGATGATTATATTATTTACGTCTGACACACATACGCGTATATATATTGATTAATACATACTACTCGAAAGATGTCAGTGGAGGCATCTGGAAGAGGCGCCTCATCGAAAAAATGTCTTCGCCTCCCCAGTCTTCCTCGTCGAGGAACCAGCCGTTGTAGCGATTGCTATCCTCTTCGCCACCATCTCTGCAATCGAGATGTACCCGCGGACCTGTAATAAAAGAGAAGAAAAACACCTTATAATAAACCTTTGTTAAAATTAGTGCACTAAAATAAACGTAGAACACACTACACTCACTTCGATCATGATTGGTGCTACCATTGTACAGTGTCGTAAAGTATGCTGAGTGCAACTGATGAGCTGCGCCGAGTTGGATGAATCGCTCCAGCTTACCCCCACTTGCATCTCCTAGGAACTAAGATCTAAATGCACACGGGAGTGGGGGCCCACTCGCTGGTCAGGGGTTCGTTGCACCAAGGACAATAAAAAAAAAATCTGGATGAAAGCACCCAGGTCAGCGGTACGCGTCGAGATTTATGATGAGAAATTAATTTTTCCCATACACCCAGTTACATGTTTTAAGATATGTTATAACCCCATTATTTAAAAAAAAAAGACGGTATGTATAACAGTGATAAATTTAGGCCCGCTTTTATTTTATTTATAAAAATAATATATCTGACACCCTTTACTCTTGTTTCTAGTCACCACCGTAGCATCATAGTCATCGACATCACCACCATTGGCCATAACAAACACCCATAACGGATTGGACAGGTAAGTGTGATAATTTTAAGCTACACTGGTTTTTTATCTGGTTTAAACAGCTTTATTAAACACACTGACATTTTTACAGATTATGGCGTCGAGAAGACCGGACACGCCACCCTTCGGAATCGAGGGGTCCCTACTCTATATATATTATTATTCTACTTATGTAAATACTCTACCTATGATTGAATTGAATATACACTAACCTGTGTATCCTGTTTTACAACGTGAATATTGTACTCTACCACCACCACCACCGCCGCCATAGATCTTATTATCCTGCGCATACCGGCGATCCGTCAAACGCTTCTTTCGCACAAAAGCGTCGTAGTACTCTCGGGCAATTCTATCGTTTTTCCGCAAATCACCGCTAAACACATTCTGGAAGGCATGCATCCCAAAGCCGGATGAGAGGTAGTGTAAGAACATCATGCAGAATTGGCCGCACACCGTCGACGTCTCGCTCTGAAGCTGCTGAGTATTCCATCGGAAGGCTCGACAGTTTCGTCGGAGCCTCGATACGTGGTGATGATTCAGCGGTGGTAATCCGTAGCTGTCAAAGTAGTAGCCATCTCCGTCGGTGTCCACGTAC